ATTATTCGCAGGAGTTTCTAATTTTATTAAAAATTTGGAACGAGAAAAATATTTGTATTATTCAGAAATAAATTTCCACAGAGATCTTGATTTATTACATGATTTTCCTTGTAACAATATGTTCGAATTGAAGCACCAATTCAGGAGGCAACAAAGGGCCATAGAAATCAAAACTTTCAGTGTTCAATCTCGAAGGAAGACGTTAAAAGCAATCCACGGAGGAATAGGTAGCCAAAGGCGATCACCAGACTCCTTTGTTTCAGTAGGAAGGGCAAGAATGGATTATAAGATAGCTTTATTCGGAAACTTATGCACGACGCTGCTCCCAACGATATATCGTTTGGCATTCCGCCACTTTCTCAAACCGTGTTGCTTGCCCCTGCCTTTCTACTTCTCTCGATCGTCTTTGTCCGCAAAGTACTCCAAGTTCCCGAAACATTTGAAATTGTAGTGTTCTATGGCAAAAATTACAAACGGAAGTTGAACTGTCTTAACGTTTCTATAAGCAGAGGGCACAGAGAGATTGTAATTCAATTTTAAACGACTTAAAATAAGATATTTTAATATTAAGAAGTACTAAAAGAAGTTATTTAATTCGTTACAATATAGGAGTCTGGATAATTATTGAGTTATACTACTTCCACAGTTATATATGCACTTATGGCTGACTTGTACTACTGAACTAGGCTGCCTCTGAAAGTTAGACAGTCTGACATAATTTCATGACATAAAAGTACTGCAAAATAGCATGTATGGCACATCAACTTAAAGCTTGAAGCTTCAAGAAAATGGGTGGCTAAAGGTTTCATCAATACTCTTAATACAAAATGGCTGGCGGCTGATTATAGTAAACAGTGTTCGATTTAGACACAAGAGAAATCTGATACGTTTTCATGACAGAAAAGTAGCTCAAAATAACAAGTGTAATACATCAATTTAAAGCTTAAAGTTTAATAAAAATTACCATATAAAGCTTTCGTCAACATCCTTAATATTGAATAAGAATTGTACGTTCGTTAGTGGACAGTACTAAGATGTAAACTGATTGATCAATTATATTTTCCAAAGATGAATCAAACATTTCGCATTAACAATATCAATAAACCATTTACGTAGTTATTTTTATTATTTCTTAAGCTTTAAATTGATATGTTATAAGTACTGTTTTGTAATACTTTTATGTAATAAAATTATAAGAAGGTTCATTTGACTGCACGTCCCTTTTGTGGAAATTCATATCCAAATTGAAAGTCCTCGTGGTTAGTGTACACTGTCGTATCAAAAGTAATATCGCACCTTTAACTTCTCTACAGACACGTTCATTCATTCGCGACAAGACAGAAGAGAAGCCATAGGGAAGTCGGTATTTCTTCAGGGGGGGTCCAGGTTGTTTAATCTTCCCGTCTTGGTTCTGTCGTCTTCAAACTTTCCGCCTTTGTCGTTTTTTACTCCCTCTGCACTCCTCGCCACTCCCTTTGACTCTTCGCCTTTCCCCTCTTAACTATCATCGTCTGCCTCTCGACTTTTGACCTCGTACTACATTTTCTCGTGTTGCCCGTTTCCTGATAATATCTGCTCACTGTCCCCTGTCACGTTTGAACTTTATACCGAGACGAATGCAATCAACGATTAATGGCGCAAGGAGTAACGTCGATGTAATCTGTCTTCTTTAAAGCTTACAAAAGGATCGAATATTTCATTTAACTTTCATGGAAGATCTTTCTTCTTGGAATTGTTGTAAGATTATATATTTTTGAAATAAGTATGTCAAATTTGGATAAGCAGATTTTTACAAAATTTAATTATGCAAAATTGTCATATTGTAGCTTTTGAAAATTTTTGATGAAAAGTTCAAATTTTAGAAATAACATTCAAGCCATTTAATTTTCAGTTACAATAATATATCTCTACTTGCATAAAATATTCCTATTTTTGTGTTTATAATTTTAGAAATCTCAATTTTATTTCATTTTATCGCTCGAAATAGAATCACAGAATATTCAGTTACTTCCATATAAAACTTATTCCACGAGGTCATCGGTGATGTAGCTCGTAAATACACTTTTGTGTTGGTGCATAGAAGATGGTTAGCGTGGCCAGTAAAATTTATCGCGGCTTTTCTAATCTGTATATCGTAAATTACCGTCCACCGCGAACGCAATCATTCTTGTGGACGAGATCGTTGCAATTTCCGGTGGAATCGCGTCCAGATTCGCCTGTACTCGCATTAGACTCCCAATTAGCAATTAATAGTGACCTAATTGCCATTGCTGGCTTTATTAAATGCGTGCACTTCAATCGATTGACCCGATCAACACTTTCCAACACTTCAATTCGATGATACACATTTTCGAATTAAACCTCAATCTCTGACATCTTTATGGTCTGGTCTTTTTCCAAAATTCGATCTGTTTGGTTAGCTGGGAGTTTTTCTGGGAGGATTTATTACTTGGAGAAGTAACGTTGTTGCTTCTTTATTGATGATCCTTTGATTCTTTTTACATTTTTATTTCTGCATGCAAGTTAATTTTCTATTTAAGAACATCAAATGATTTTAAAATTTAAATGAAATTAGAAATAAATAAAATTAGAATTAGAATTAGGAACGGAAATTAGAAATAAATAGAATTAGAATTAGAATTAGAAATGGAAATTAGAAATTACAAACCAAAAAAGAAATTAGAAATTAGAATTTCAAACAATTTAAAAATAGAGAGTAAGTTCCAAGTTAGTTATTTTAAGCCGACAATAAATAAGAAAATGATTAAGGCAGGTTTTTCTTCACTTTCACAAATTCTAATTCAAATAAATAAAGTACTGGAACAGTCTACATTTTCTTGTTATTTTGCACAACATATTCCGGCTTGTTCGGAGCCATTATTTTACCAGGAACTTGAGATAGCTCGAAGAGAGACGGATTAACCGAAAAAGAAACACTTTTGAACAGTGGTTGTTTTCCAACGAGACGAAAACGTCACCCGAAGCTCCGCGCTCAAGACGGCGAAAAATCTTTCAAGGACCAAAGAATGTGGGTCAACGCATACCCTGTTTTCACATTCGTGCTATTTTTTGGCAATCCTGGCGCCACGATCATGCGAAAACACGATTTCCGATTTTCAAATTTATTTCAAAATTATCTGCATCGAATGTCAAACGCAGTCATCCAAAATATTGGAAACGAATTACTCCGGTTTTGAAAACTTTTGCCAAACTGCCGGATAGATAAGTTCCAAAGTGCTTTTACCAAGAATTTCTCCGTATTGAACATACGCCTTTTTTTTCACGATTCTCATATTCTTATCGACACTTTTCGCGAACTTACATACAAGAGTTTGCATTTACATCCTCTCAACAACGATGTTCAGAGAGCTTTTAGCCGCAGGCATTTCTTCCTACGTTCCTATGATATGTTTTATATTCGAGAGCGATCTGCCTGAATCGCAAAATCGCAAAAACGACACAACTATGGTTGCGTGAAGAAAATGCAAATGCAAAGAAACAATTATATAAATATATTTTATCCATTTACTAGTATTAAGCTTTTTATTAAAAAAGAAATTGTCGACTTCTGATACAGTGAACGATTAGTGGATTGCAATTAATTTTTTATTTTTTATTACCAACAATTAATAAATTTCTAGTCTAATTTTTTTGTATATTATAATTAATAAAATGCTTAAATGAACTTCATAAATTCATAGAGCAGAGATCGATTGAAATATACCAATTTTACAAGCTACTAATTGAGCTGCCTCTAAATCGTTTGAATAAATTCATTCGCATGAAAGTTTTAACGATCATAAATATATAGGAATTACTAACGCAATAATTTAACGATGTTACTAAATACTATTCACAAAGTTTTAATAGGTTGGAATATATTAATGGATATGATATGTGGATACTTGTTTGCGGTTTCCGCTCAAATATCTGCATCGTATAAATTGGACAAATATCGTAAGGTCGTTTGGTATCCTTTGATTTTAATTATCCTGCGGTTTCGTTGTTTCTCGTTTGCGTTAATCGACTTGGCAAATTGGACGATTTCCATTTCAATAAAAGCTACATTTATTTTGTAAATTGATATCAATTCCTCTCATTTAAAATAAAATGGACTGTTAATTTTACAACTTCAAAAATCTACTATGAAATAGTATACATTTAAAAAATTTATTTTAACAAAATTGAAATTATATTTTGATAATATCTAAACTAATATATCTAAATTAGGCCTTATATAAATAAAAAAATTCTATTTATAATAATAATAATTCAAATTATGATTTTTTTTTATGTGTTTTAAAACAGATGCAAATCAAGCTCTCTCATATAATCTTTAGTAATATTATTTTATAAAGAAAAGAATAGTCCATGATCGAATTTGAATACTGGAAGGTGTTAATAAAAATTTCTTGATTAGACAATTACCGATACTAAAAATCCTAGCTATCAAGAGAGCAAAATATGGCGAAGTCAGACTATAGTTAAACTTGTTCGAAGTACAATGAGTACATCTCTCTCTTACCATCAATGCTAGCATGAATGGCTGCTGAGAGATACCCTTTCAGCTTTTAGAAGCGACAACTCGTGACAAACGTCTTTATATCTTCGAGCGGCTTTAGAATCTTCGCGACGGCCTTTTAGAGACACCCTACCCTGCCTAACAAGTTTTCGCGATGAATCCTGAACGGTTCACTTTCAAACGCGCAATTATAAACATATTCCACAGGGATCATTCTCTTTCACCATTTCTTGATTTCCAGACTAATATTTTGTTCCATGGAAGGATCAAGATAACAGCTTACTAGGGGCAAGTAAGCGTCAAAAGCTTCTACTATTTTGATTTTATGCTCTTTGGAAAATTAATTTGTTGCCTTAACGAAAAGATCACAAGTTTTCATTAGCAAAGAGAAAAGGAAGATTGAATGACAACGAAAGATTGATGGTTTGAAGAGGAATGCTTAAGCGAAGATGATTTATGAGGGTTGGATTCTACTCACCAGCAACCCTTGCCTCTTTACACGCCTCGTACATGTCCTGCTTAATTTCCGGATTGTCATCTGCAATTGTTTCGCCAACAGTGACGAATCTTTCGACCGCCAGGTTCACTGCTTGCCCGACTCTGGCGACCGCACGGAGACTTCTGTCCGAACATAGCGGACGTTCCCTGTGCGACACTAACGTGGAGATCTGAAACATAAACAAAAACAGATTGCAGAATTGTTTGGACGCGTAAGTTCCTCAAGAAAATAGGTATATGTCCATATAGAGACCCCTATAACTGATTGGCAGTTTCTTATTTTTTCATGCAGAATCACCCTTTTTATGATTGTACCATTAATTATGAGACAACCAATATAAAATCTACTTTTTGCATCAAGCCACAGACTTATTATTAAAAAAAAACATCTGAAGAATAATTTTTAAAGGAACAGGGTAAAATTTAGACAATGAAAATTATATAAAATATGGAACTAAATTATAATTGGGGCTTTCTCCATGGTCCGCCATCCGAGAGTTAATAATAAAACACATTATAGTATATTAATACTTATTTTAATGCTGCATTCATTTAAATGTGATTTAGCCCAGCTTTTTAACCCTTTGAATTGAAAAAAAGAAGTTGATAATAATTAACTGTTCACAATTGGCAATCCCCCTTCTCAATTACAGTGTGGAAGAAACAAAAAATATTTCTACCCTAATTGGCGAACTACCAATCCCGGAGCAACATCAATTCTAAAATAATTGCATACAAAACAAGGCAAAGCGCTCGGCACAGAGAGGGTAGAGCTCATTATTAACCGAGTTCAAGTCAGTTCTAATTAACGTTGCATCTCGTGGTGCGTTACCATGAAAAACAAGTGTGCCTGATACGCGTGAAGCCTTCCATCGTATGTAATGGAAAGCAGCCATGCTCGAATTGTTTTGTCTGCTGTCTAACGACCAGACAGCGAACTCCCTCTTTCTCGTAAACGAAGAACGGGTATTCAAGAAAGCTGCGCCAGAGTAACCCCGTTAGCTTGCCCTGTAGCTCGAGGGTTCACCCAGGTCGCGCCTATCCTATGCACCTCATTTTCAACACAATTAGACAATGCATTTAGCCGTCACTCGTTTTTTTAACGAGTTGATTGCCGTGGGGCCCGTTGCTACGAATATCATTTCGAATAATTAGAAAAATAAGAGAAAAATATCGTAGATTCCACTGACATCACACTGGTCGTTAGAATTTACGAGGGAAAGTGATAAATTAAGAAATTAATGTTTTATGATTTGGATAGAACACAAATTACTTTACGGTAAAGAGCCGTCGATGCGGCGAATTTAATTTGAAATAATTACGAAATGAAGAGGATGAAAATACTGCGAGCATCACTGAAATTACACTGGCAATTTCAAATTTCAAGTGGAAGTAATAAATGAAATGAAAAAATTAATGTTTCATGTTTCAACGAGAATACAAGAGAAGAGTCCTTTACGCATGAATTTATTTCTAGATAATTATGAAATGAAGAGAGAAAAATATTCCATCATCGAAGTAATATACTACAAAATAAATTAACATTATTATTATTTTATTAAGATTAAAATTTTTGCATTATTGTTATTGACAAGGAATGTCGGTTTATTCGCTGTCTATGATTGGAGCTTACAATTTACCCAGTAAAATTTATTTAACACACAGTATCATTATTTCCACTACGATAGTCAACGTGTTAAACGATTCCACCTTCCATCGTACAAAAGCAAGGATAAGAACAGGGTTAAGGCGTTCGCAGCTTTGAACAACAAAGAAGAAGAAGAAAGTCCTGAAGAAACTCGCACAAAGAAGGATGAAAAATAGGCCAGAGGCAGCGATCGCAAATAAAAGGATAACAGGCAAATGCAGGGATAAAATAGCGATAAAAAAAAGGGAAAGAAAACGAACGATTCAGGCAAAGACTGTGTCATTTGTAAACGGGGTGAAGGGAAGAGTTGGCAGCAACGGAAGAAACGGAAGAGAAATTGACAGGGAGAAAGGCGGGGAGAGGGTTGGAAATATCGAGAAAGGGACGGATCCGAAGGTATTGTTTCGCGAAGTGAATGCGTACAATCGAATGAACACACACACACATATACACGCGTTCATAGAAACGTTGATACACCATTACACAAGCGATCTTTACACCTACATATGGTTCACTTGTTCATGGGTCTACGGTGCCACCCATTGTCAAATGTCGCTTGTTGAAGCAAATGCAACGATGTTACATAGTTCTATGTATAGAATGTAAGCCATAGAGTAAATCAATGTTGTTTTAAATATTGATTTGTATGGACTGATACCATCTGTACATATCTATTTATGAAAAGAATAAATGGTACGTTGCATCAGCCATTTTATATTACGAATATTCATGAAATGTTTGTGCAGTCAGTTTCTTGGAATCTTAAGCTTTAAATCGATATATCATATGTGCCATTCTGACATACTTTTATGTCATGAAATTGTGTTAGTAAGTAGTAAGCAGTTTAAGTAGTACGAGTACATAATTAGTCAGACATATAGAAAAATAAACTCTAACACGATTTCATAACGCAAAAGATTAATTGAAGTGCACTTATGATACATCAATTTAAAGCTTAAATATTGCTGAAAATGGCCACGTAATTGTTTTATCAATATTCTCAACACAAATTGATTGGTTACCAATTAAAACAAACAATGATCGATTTGAAAACATCAGAAGTTTGATACAGTTCGATGTCATAATAAATGTACTATAAAATAATATATTTTATATAAATTTCAAGCTTGAAATTTCCTGAAAAAGACTACAATAAATACTCAATTAAAATGTGATTGTACAAATGTATTTAAATTGATTTAATAAAACTTCTTGTTTCTTAAAATGAAAATTAAATGATTCGTTTCACTATGACTTTTATCTTTTACATGTTTCTGTACGTATGGCTGTGTGCAATGTGGCCACTGCATTTTTCGTTTCACCCCGAGAAGGACTTATTCCATCTCATTCGTCGAGCACGTAGAAAATTTTAATATCACCGCGGGAGAAAAAAAATGAGAGACTGCCCAAACAATGACAAGCAAGAATCCTACAGGGGTGAGGGAAGCTTTTTCGTTTATTTTCGGCGTAAACCACCCTCCAGGACAGATGTTTCCCCGCGATTGCTGCACGAGAACACCACCAGGATATTTGGACGATGAATTTTGAATGCTGTTTATCTCTATCGTCGCCTCTCCTCGCGCCATTCATGCTGCTCTGATGGAATCACAAGGATGCGTTTCGGTGAAACGTTTTCCCAAGGAAGTTATAAAGGACTCGTTAACAATCATGGTGTTGATGCTCGAGGGAAATTGTTCGTGAAAAAGAGAATTCGATCGAACTATTTTGCATTCACCCGAGAAACAGAGAATTCTTGTTTCTCTTTCGAACAAAGAAGATTGGTTTAAAGTGAAATTTCAAGTGTATTGGTGTAATTGTATAATTTTTGCTGATTTGAATTGCAAAGTGCTGACTCTGGCAGTACCAAGATTTTTTCTTTACTTAAATTACCAAGGGAGGAATATTTTATTGTGACTTTATATTTTAAATAATGGGAGCAGGTATAAATTTATTATTTATAAATTTTGAAAGTCAGAAATTTTTAAGTATTATATTATTTTAGTGGAAATTCTCGAGACAGTAATATGGTGAATATAAAACATCCCCTTTGTAATACGAGATTTAATCCATTTTTGGACTAAAATAAGGATAAAATGAAATTTTTAATTTTTCCCTTGTAATAAAGATTATTATCTATAAAATATTGTATTTCAAACTCGATGAGTACATTTAAATTTATATAGTGTACATAATGAGCGGTATTGGATACTATAAAATGAAATAAAAAGTATAGGGTATAAATTTCCAAAGTTCAATAACACATTTAACGCTACTTTTATCTCCCTGTCGCAGTAAAAAATCACTAACAATTTAAATATCAATCTCTATCATTTTAATATCTGAACGGTTAAACTGATACAAATTCAACACAGAAATATTGTGGAATTTAATTTGTCAAATTTCTATATGAATGGATATTGGAAAATATTCTCGATAAATTTCTGTTAGAGGAATATCGCGCCACGAATAAGTTTCAATCTTTCATGCCTTCTGACACCATGATGAAAACTTTGCACCATAACTCCCGTGTTCTTGGTAAGGTGCTCATAAATTCATTAGTTCAATATAAGGAGGCCACACATCATGCGAGGGTATACAGAACAAATTCCTTGAATAAGTTCATCGTTCTTGCGGGTGGAAAGTTATTATAGGACAGTGGGTTACAAACCACGTGTGGTTCGTTTAGTTGCCGACAAATTTCCTACGGATGTCAAGAAATTAATTCTAAACGATTAATCCTTGAACAGCGCGGGGTATGGGTCGTTTCTTTTCATTCACAACGCATTGTGTATTTTACTTAAAAACTATATTCTTCAAAAATACCTTTAACAAATATTAAAAGATTTTAAATAAATAATGGAAGGTGAAATCTTAACAAATATTCATTGTTATTCGCAAAAGATTATCAAACATGACATCACAAAATATTCCACGCGAACAATTTACATAATTAAATATTAAATTTTCATTTCGAACCCTCTTAATCCAAACGGTGCACGAGGGTTAATTCTCTCCCCAATTCGTATCTGTATGTTTTGCAGTATAAACTGTCTCGACACGCGAAACCGTAAAATTATCACGGTACATTTATCAGGAACTATGCTGATGCCATTAATAACCAGTTCGCTGTATTAATCCGAATTTAAGCCGAACAACAGGGGTAACATCCCAGCGGTGGTCGAAATTAGAGGCGAACACTCGAAAAAGCAGAAATTATGCGAAGGGTGACATCAAGTTGAGCTTTAATCACCTCTCCTCAGGTTCGCTTCTCTATCTAACGAGGCAAGTTCACGAATTAACCAAGGTTTCTCAGGGTCCTGGGAATTCCTTTTACGAATAGATCTCTAGTACCCTTCTGTGCCAATTAATTTTCCTCACTTTTTTTTCGGCCTCCGACACACGTTATTCTCGCGCCCTATTCATGAATTTTCGCCTTTCTACTTAACAATTCTACATTTTTTCCCTCTCTCTTTGTGTGTTTTTTTTTTTTTTTTTAAGAAACCTCAGCTGCCTGTAATACGG